GGACGGTGGCCAAGTGCGGGAATGGGTCGGCAGCGGGGTCGTCCGTGGCGAGTTCGGATCAGTGGAGTCTGGCGAGTAGTCGGAAGGCTGCTTCAGAAAGTACTATTGGATAGATAGTTAACTAATGATTGGTGTTGTTAATTAGTTAAATTGGGGTGATTAATGACATTGTTGAGTTCGGGATAGGGTATTTTTTTAGGGCGATTTGTCGCCCTTTTCGCTAGCTTTTGCCGTTTTCGGTTGCCCTTTTGTGCAGGGGGATATGATTGAGGGCGGATGGGAGGTGTGATTGTGTTTTCTTGTTTCATTTGTTTCGAGTTTGTTGTGCATATAGGCCAAGGGAGTCTTAGGGGAGAATCCTTTTTTCCCCTTTAATTTTCTTTTTCGTTCTTTTATTATTCTTCCAGGGTTTGGTATGAAGTAGTTTGAGGGTGGTGTAGGATGAAGATGCATGTAGCAAGATTAATGAGAATATGTGTGTAAGTTGCTTTGGTCTTGTCTGACGAAGAGGGACTTTGGATGTGTTTTCTTGTTTCATTTGTTAAGTTCCTTGTGTATATAGGCTAAGGAAATCTTTTAGAGGAGATTTTTTTCCCCTTTTCTTTATTGTTTGCTTGGCTTTTATTTTTCCAGAGTTTGGGTTGAAGAATTTTGAGGGTGATAAAGGATGTAGATGCATGTAGCAAGATTACTGAGAATCTATGTGTTGGTTGGTTTGATATTATCTGACAAAGAGAGTTTGATTGAGTACTTTAACCGTCTTTGCTTCTAATACATTAATTGCCTTGGTCCTCGTCCGAAATAATTTTACAAATCAAATACTTAGTGTTCACATTTACTTATGAAGTATTTGATTCTTTAAATCTCTCAATTATCTGGTAGATAGTTTGTTTCTCAAATCATAATTAATTGTTAGTTCTAGGAAGAGTGTAGCTTAAAACAAATAGCATACCTCCATCTTATTGCGCGCAGCAGAAATTTCGGCAGCACTTCGGCAGCACAACAAAAGAGTCACGTCGCAATAGAAAATCCTGTTTCACAAAGGAAACAAGAATCTTAAGCAAAATATCTCAACCAAGTAAAATATCAGCTCTTCCTCTCATCAGTTCTAGGACTGACATGTCGATGGAGCCTAAGTAAGCTATTACAAATCACACAAAAGCGAGACAAACTAATTTTACGTGGTTCGAAAAATTACCTACGTCCATGGGGAGAGGATAGGGAGATTCCACTAAATCAAAGATAGTACAAAGGGTTACAATTTCACAAAACTCACAAACTAACCCTCAACCAAAGCTCTCAACTTGCTCACAATATCTCCCTCTCACAATACTTAAAAGTCTCTCTAATCTCTTATTACAACTCTCCTCTTTTTTGATGATTGATTCTAATCTCCATATATATAGAAAAACTAAAACCAAAACAGACTAGGAATCCTAAAACCAAAAACAAAACAAATTAGGAATCCTAATAACCTCATGTTACCAAAATAGATTAGAAATCCTAATAACCTCATGTTACCAAAATAGATTAGGAATACTAATAACCTCATGTTACCAAAATAGATTAGATATTGCTATCCAACAATTCTCCACCTCAGCGAAGTATTCCCAAAACTGAGCCGACACCAACATGAGCACCAATGCGTCGTCTCACCAAATTCAGTTGCACCAATGTGGTTGCCTACGTACCCCCTCTCCCAATGGATCAAGTCGCCCGTAGTTCATACAAATGACCGTCAACGGTCTCAACAATCACGAATGTGCAACAAGTTTCGACAATGATCAAACTTGTTGCTCGGAACCACTTTAGTGAGCATATCCGTCGGATTATTCTTCGTGTGGACTTTCATAATCTTCACATCTCCATCTTCAAGAACATCCGAATGAAGTGATAACGAACATCAACGTGCTTCGTCCTCGCATGAAAAACCTGATTCTTCCCCAAATAGATAGCACTCATGCTATCACAATGAATGGTGACGGACCGTCGCGATATACCAAGTTCCTCCAAAAGTCCTCGAAGCCAAATAGCCTCATTCACAGCCTCCGTAACTGTTATATACTCTGCCTCTGTCGTAGACAAAGTCACCGTAGACTATAAGGTGCATCTCTAATATACCGGCGCACGGGTCAAAATAAACACATACCCCATCGTAGACCGACACTTATCAAAATCTCTGGCATAATCCGAATCAACATAACCAATGCATAACTGCCCACCTATAGTGTCCCGCTCATAAATCAAACCAACATTGAGCGTACCTCAAATGTACCTCAAAATCCATCGTATGACGTCCTAATGACCCACTCCTGGATCGTGCATGTATCTCGAAACCATGCTCACCGCCTGTGATAAATCCGACCTCGTACATACCATCGCATACATCAAGCTCCCAACTGCACTCGTATATGGAGTCTTCGACATCAACTCTCTATCTTTAACTGTCTTCGGTGAAAGATCAGTTGAAAGCTTCAAATGGGCTCCCAAAGGTATACTAACTGGCTTCGTATCCATGCTAATATGAAATCGCTGTAGAACCTTCTTCAAATAAGCCACATGTATTAAACAAATTTTACCCTTCTTCTTGTCTCTGCCAATCTTCATCCCTAAAATGCGTTTCGTCTCACCCAAATCATTCATCTCAAACTCATTTGAAAGTTGTGCCTTCAACTCATCGATAGCAGATCTGAAAATAGAGGCAACCAACATGTCATTCGACATAAAGTAACAAATAGATGTATGCACCTCCTTTCAACTTGTGAAAATATATGCAATGATCAAACTGACTCCGAGTGTACGAATGACCAATCATAAAACCATCGAATCGTCTATACCACTGTCGATGAGACTACTTCAAACCGTATAGTGATTTCTCTAATCTGCAAACCAATTTATCTTTTCCTACAGCTCAGAATCCCAATGGCTGAGTCATATATATTTTTTCATTAAGATCATCATGAAGAAATGTCGTCTTCATATCTAACTGATCTAACTCTAAACCATACTGTGCCACCAAAGCTAGCAAAATCCGAATCGAAGAGTGTTTCACCACCGGAGAGAAAACTTTATTATAGTCAATATCTTCCTCTTGCGCATAGCCCTTCGCAACCAACCTAGCTTTGAACCTCAATGGAGTGCCCTCAATACCATTCTTCTTTGTGTATACCCACTTGTAACCAATTACCTTCCGTCCCTTTGGAAGCTCAACCAGCTCCCATGTATCGTTCTTATGAAGAGACTCCATCTTCTCCTGCATAGCTACCTGCCACGAATCAGCCTCCGAACTCTGCTCGGCCTCTCTGAATGTAGTAGGTACCTGCCACGAATCAGCCTCCGAACTCTGCTCGGCCTCTCTGAATGTAGTAGGTACCATCTCATCGATACTCTCCACCGGAAGTGCACGAACTCTGCTCGGCCTCTCTGAATGTAGTAGGTACCATCTCATCGATACTCTCCACCGGAAGTGCATACGCAACTGTGTTGGCATACCGTGATGGCAATCGTATGTCTCTCCTCTGTCTCCAAACTATAATAGAATCCTGAACCTGAGTTGTCGGTCCCTGATCCTGCACATCAGTACCCGTATCCTCCGTGTCACCATCGTGCTTGCCTGGCATCACCTCAGTCGGCGCTCTAATGGATACTGTACCATCTGGATAATATGGAGCTGTATCGATCTCCACCACTTGTGATATCTCCTCTGTCGGGTCGCTCTCCACCCGATGAGAGCTGGGAAGCTTCAAGATAGAAGCCTCATCAAATGTGACATCTTTACTTAGCACAATCTTCCTATCAACTGGATCCCAAAACTTGTATCCCTTGACACCGCGATTGAATCCTATAAATATGACCTTCCTAGCTCGAGGTTCTATTTTATCTGTTCTCACATGATAAAATACAGGGCACCCAAATACCTTAAGCTGGTCATAATCGTGTGCTGGCTCTCCCGACCACTTCTCCATAGGGGTCTTCCCCTCAATCGCATATATGTAAGTACCTCAGCCCAAAAGATCTTCTCCAAACCACTCTGCGACAATAAACATCGGACCTTCTCAAGCAAAAACCAATTTAACCTCTCTACCACCCCCATTCTGCTGTGATGTATGACTAACCATGAAGTGTCTCTCTATGCCATCGTCTCGACATAGCTGCAGAAAGGGGTATGAAGTATATTTACCACTGTTGTCGGATCACAACGTTTTGATCTTTCTCCCAGTCTGCAGTTCCAATCTATTCTTCCACTCCAAAAACAAATCTAGGATTTCACTCTTCTTCGTCATAGTGTACACCCAACATCGCCTAGAATAGTCATTAACGAACGTGATGAACCAATATCGATCACCAAGTGATACAGTCTTGGTGGGACCCCAAACGTCTGTGTGCACGTAGTCCAGGATGCCCATTGTCCTATGAATGGCCGTCCCAAACTTCATCTTTGTCTTCTTGCCAAGAACACAGTGCTCACAGAATTCTACTTTATCACTCTTGGCTCCCTTTAATAGCCCCTGCTTGCACAAAACCTGCAGTGACTTCTCTCCTATGTGTCCTAACCTGTAATGCCAAAGCATACTCATGTCCGCCTCTGAAATAGCTGAAGCTACCTGGCCAATATCGATGCTTCCTTTCAGATAATACAAGTTGCGAATGCGGACTCCCTTCATCACCACCAAAGATCCCTTAGTAACCTTTGCTACAACGTCTTCAAAGGTTACCTTGAATCCATTTTCCTCCAAAGCTCCAACTGAGATAAGATTCTTCTTCAGCTGAGGGATAAATCTCACCTCCTTCAATTCACGGACTACTCCATCGTGCATCCGAATCCGCATAGTACCTATCCCATAAATACCACAGGATTGATCATTTCCCATGACAACAACACCCCCCCATCGAGTCTCTCGAACAATGCAAACCAATCTTGCCTAGGGGTCATATGATAAGTAGCGTCGGAATCAAGCATCCAATCTGATGCATCCAAGTGGTTCACCTCTGGAATAATCAGTAGAGAAAAGCTCGAATCATCGGAATCATCGCCTTTCACAACGTTCACCTCATTGGCCTTTCGGGCCCTTTTTCTTACCATTCTCCTTCTCCTTGAGCTTCAGGCAGTCTCTTTTACAATGTCCCTGCTCCTTGCAGAATACACATTGGTTTTTTCCAAACTGATGACGACCTTTTGACTTTGACGTTCCTCTATTATTATCTTTCGGATATGGACTTCTATCTCTCGTCGACAAGGCCTCGCCTGAAGTACTAGCACGAGAAGTCTCCTTGTCCTTTCTCCTCAAA